TCCTTGGCTGTCACAAAACACAGGTGTAGGACCCTCTTGCTCCTGCCCCAACTCCTCAAGCAACCTCCTCATCCAAACCACCTCCTTCACCCCATGAAACAACGCCATGTACTCGCTCTCCGTTGATGAGTGAGCTATCTCCCCTTGCTTCTTAGACTTCCAGCTCACTGGACTCCCTCCAACACAGCATACATAGCCACCGTGGGATGTTGCATCACTGATGTCACTTGCCCAGGTAGCATCGGTGAAGCACGAGAGGTACAAGTGTCCACGCCTTGCAGGTGCACCGGTCTTCGTGCTCACCTCCTCCACTCCCTTTTGCTTCAGCTGCCCATGCACTGAATATTGCAGCCCCACCCTTGAGGTTGCCATGCAGTACCTCACCAGCCTCTCTGCTGCATCAAGGTGCTCTTGAAGGGGCCTAGACACCACACGAGCCAGCTGCGAAACCGCGAATGAAATATCGGGGCGAGTGTTGACCGAAGCATACATCAAGCTCCCCACCATTGACTGGAACCGACGCTGCAACTCGGGCTCCAACACCTCACCCTCCTCTTCATCAAGGTGTAGCTGAAATCCTGAGGGTAGTGGAGTCTTTACAATCCTCCCTTCCTCCAGCCCATACCTCTCCCCCATGGCTGCAAGGTACTTGTGTTGGTGAAGCCTCAACCATCCCTTCACCTCGTCCCGCTCCACGTGAAGACCAAGGTAATACCCCACTGGTCCAAGGGCCTTGCATTGAAAGGTCTCCTTCAGCTTCCCTTGCACCTCCTTGATCCTCTCCAGGGATGGAGAGAAGAGGAGAATGTCATCAACGTAGACAAGGAGAAACACTTTCTCCTCATCCCCCTCGGTTATGAAGAGACTCTCGTCGCACCCGCTAACTTTGAAGCCAAGAGCCTCCAACGCCTCCACCAGCCTTGCATACCAGCACCTTGGAGCTTGTTTGAGGCCATAGATGGCCTTGTTGAGCCTGCAAACACGTCCGCTCCCATCGTCGTACCCCTCTGGCTGCTTCATGTAAATCTCCTCATCTACCACGCCATAGAGGAAAGCCGTCTTCACATCCATTTGCTCCACCTTCCAACCACAAACGGCAGCTGCTGCCAGCAACACCCGGAGCGTAGGAGCCTTGGCAACAGGAGCAAACACCTCCTTAAAGTCAACCCCCTCCCTCTGCTGGAAACCCTTGATCACAAGTCTTGTTTTGCGCCTCTCCAACTTCCCCTCCGCATCGGTCTTCACACGTAATATCCACGTGCAATCCAATGCCTTTCTTCCCGGGGGCAGATTGGTGAGGGTCCACGTTCCATTCTCCATGAGGCTCTTAAACTCATCCTCCCTTGAAGCCAACCAAGCCTCTCGATCATCTCCAGCAAGTGCTTCCTCCATCGAAGCCGGTTCATGAGGTAAGTTGACACCGAAGCAACAAATCTGCTCCATCTCTCCCTCGGCTCCATTCTCCTCATCATCTTCCTCCTCCTGGACCAGCAATGCCTTGGGACCCCCAAGCCTTTCATACTTGAGGAAATCTCTTGGGTGATCAGCTCTCTTGGGCCTCTCCTTGGCTGCACTCTCCTTAGCTCCACCACGGACAGCACCACGCTTCCCTTGGGTTGTCCGCCTTGGTGGAAGAGTAGGGGATGGTGTAGGCTGCTGCACCTCCTCCTCGGCATCACCTCTCTCAGCTACAGGGGCCTTCTCTTGCTGCAACACTCCCTCCACCTCTACTGCCTCCCCTTCAGCACCTCCCAAGTCATGTGACACCTCCGTTACCTCTGAAGACGAAGACAACTCGATGGGAATGAAGAGTGGGTCATTCGTTCCCACCTCTATTCCGAGCGGAATGGTGACCTTGCTCCTCCCTCGCTCCAACCACTCCTTGAACATGAGCCCCTCCATGAACTTGGCATCTCTGGTGGTGAAGATGGTGTTGGCTATTGGGTCCCACATGAGCCACCCCTTGCTCCCTTGTGCAAGTCCCAAATGAACAGCTCACACCGCCGCCGCTTGAAGCTTGTCACGCTTTTCCTTAGGGACGTGCACGAGTCCCATGCACCCAAAGACTCGAAGCATATCCACCAGAGGCTTCTTGCCCCTCCATTTCTCCATAGGGACCCAATGCTGCCCTCCCACATGAGTCAATACTCGGTTCTTGATGACGGTGGCATGGCGAATAGCGAGGGGCCAGAACCGTAAGGGTAGACCCGAGTCTACCAACATCGTTCTCCCGCCCTCCAAGATGGTCCGGTTCGCTCTCTCTGCCACGCCATTGGATTGAGGGGTGTAGGCCGTGGTGAGCTGCTGCTTGATGCCATGCCGCTTCAGCCAGCTCCGGAACTCCGCTCCCAAGAACTCCCCACCACGGTCACTACGTATCGCCTTCACCCGCTTGCCGCTCTCTCGCTCCACCATGGGCAGCCACTCTTCAATGATGACCCTTGCAGCATCACTCTTCTTTGCAAGTGGAAAGGACCAGGTGAGCCTTGTGTTGTCATCCACCATGGTCATAGAATACAGGGCCCCACTATCTCCCTTCACCTTCATGGGTCCCACGAGATCCACATGCACGAGCTCCACCGGGTCACTCGACTTCCCCTCCACCGAATGGAAGGGAAACCGTGAAAACTTGCTGGTCAAGCAAGTCTCACAAGATCCCACCTCCTTGGGCTCCCCCTTTATCCTCAGCCCCTTGACTCTTTCCTCCTTAAACAGCTGCTGCAACTGAGGTAGCGCCACGTGGCCAAAGCGACGGTGTGCGGTGAGCCAATCCGTCTCACCCGTGCTAGGAGTTACACTTGGAAGCGCAGCCCCTCCATGCCCAAGGAGCCCACCATCACTGTCATCACCACCCCCTCCATTGTCCACGTGGTTAACACGCCCTCCTCTCACATCTCCAGCAGCCAAGCGCGCAGCCGCCTCCTTCCATGGCAGCACCGGTATCTCCCACATGGACCGGTGCATGTCCTTGCCGCCTCGGAGGTCCCACAATACGCGCCCATCCAGAGTTGCCTTGAAAACCTTTGTGCCCAACATCTCCATCTTCATCCCTGCCTCACTTAGGGCCTTGGTAGAGAGGAGGTTGGCACACAATCCAGGAACAAGGAGAACACGCTTCAGCCCCACAAGCCTCCCATCCGCACCCATGAACATGGCTCTCCCCTCGCCACGCACGGGTACAACTTGGCCGGTGGCTGAAACGACGGTGGCTGCCTTTGATGGCCTAACTTCATCCAGTAGATCCTCTCGGTTGGTCATGGTCATGAAGGCTCCCGTATCGATGACCCAATGGGAGGAGCGGTGAAGAGCAATCTTGCTGGCCGGCACAACCATGTCCTCGGGGCACGCCTCCCCTACATGGTAGAACATGCCGCCGTATCCGCCAGCACCTCCTTCGCCCTCCTCACTGCCCATGCCTTCTCCCATAGCTCCATGAACACCCTTGGAGCCCTCAATTGATGGCTGACCAGGCCTCCAACCATCAGGTAGCTTGCGGCACTTGAACCATGGGTGCCCTTCCACATGGCAATACCAACACTTGCCGCCACACCGCTTGCCTCCCTTGTTGCCACGCTTCCCTCCCGAATGCTGCTCCCCTCCAGAGCCTTCCTTGGCCTTCCCTTTCTTGCTGCCACGCCCCTTGAAGCCCTTCATGCCATAGGCAGAGCCTCCACCTTCACCGGCAGCGGCGGTCAGCTCCTTCCTCCGAAACTCCTCTTGAAGAACTTGTGCGCGAATCCACTCAAGGGACCACGAGTCCTTCATCCCATTAAGGTTGACCACCAAGGGCCCCCACGACTCCGGCAGCAGGGAGAGAGCCTTGTAGCACTTGATTTTCTCAGGGTAGTCCACACCAGCAGCTGAGAGCTTCACATAGAGGTCCCGGAGTTGATCGAACGCTCCTTGTACGGCATCACCCTCGTTGACCTTCACCGCATGGAGTTGTCGCTCGAGCACCACCACCATTGCTTCGCTGCTGGGGGCATGGACATCCTTCAATATCCTCCATGCCTTAGGACCACACTCAGCTTCCTTGATGAGATGCTTGATGTGGTGCAGCTGGTTGGATGAGAGGCATTGGGAGAGAAGGAAGAATCCATCCTTGGACCGGCGATCCCATTCTTTGGTCGCTCCTTCGCTCGTAGGCCTCTTGAATTCTCCATCCATCACTTCAAGCAGCCCATAATGGTTGAAGAGGAGCTCCATCCTGAAGCTCCATGATGCCCAATCATCCCCAGAGAACTTCTCCAGGTTGAATGCCTTCACATCATCCTTAGCTGATGTTGAAACTGAAGCCATTGGCGCAGATCCGCCTGCAACGCCTCTTCCCGCTTCCCCAGCGCCTCTCACGCCACCACTGCCACTGGGACCAGCTGGAGCAGAACCTTCAGCCTCCATTTTCACCCACGAACAGAGTAGAACAGCTCTGATACCACTTGTTATAGTCTGCAGTCCACTTAGGGGTCGCGGATGCCCATGAAACCGCCTAAGCAGAATCTGACGTCTTCAAACCGCCTCTGTTCAAAACGCCGTCACGATCAGCTCCGAGAACATATGAGGCTGAAACTTGAACAGCGGTTAGCCTTAGGTGTCTGCTTTCCAACGGTATATTACTTGCTATTATCAGAGGTGTGTGCACTACGCAGTGAACGAAAACGTAAGCTCGGCTGAAAAAAACGTGTATTCTCATTGATGCAAGGAAGAGGTGAGTACAACATTGCCTAGGGGACTCATAAGGGGTTGGGTCATCCTGGGAACTCAGAGAAGGTTGAGTCCTAGGGGAGAAAGGCTAGAGAAGAATGGGAAACGTCCTAGCTAGGTCAGCAAAGCCAACCACACTTGGATGTTCAGAGCTGTACTCAAGGCTACCAATAGTGAGTCAAGCCAACATGAGTCAGCTTGTCTTCCCACTTGCACCCTCTTGCAAGTTGCTTCCAGGAAGACCACACTTCTCAAAAGGAGGGTTATAGAGTCCCACTTGACCACCTGTACTTCTTGTCTCATTCTCTGTCCCTGCACCATTGGCATGACAACAATGAAAGGGTGGCAAGGGAAATGCTGCCAACAGTGCACCATGACTACGGAACAGTGAATTTCGGCAGCTGTCACGCAATGCTCAGATGTTGGATCGTTCTGAAACTTGGTGACCACTTGCACAGCGGGGCAAAGGACTGCCAGACCGAATTTCAGACCAATCAGATCTCGGTAGACGAGTCAGCAGCCGAAATGGTGAACTCGGGTGTTACCAAAAAGGAGTAACACACACTTCCGGGATGCCATAAGTCTTGAAACATAAAATGTTGTCATGCCTTGGTAACTGCTTGAAAAACTCTGAAACTTTGAGGGTTTGAAGAAAACGTGTTGAAAAACCTCCCCACAAAATTCCAGAAGCTGAGCAGGCTTGTAGGCCGAATGGGAGTGCGATGACCGTGCCACTGTAATGTGTTGGCACAACACCGTCAGCGCGTTGCCCACTCGCACCGCCTCCTCGCCTCCTGCTGCCGCCGCCGCTGCCAGCGCTGCCACTGCTGCAATCTCCCGCTCTGCCTCGCGCTGCTCTCTCGCTCGGGCCAGCTCCCTTGGCGTGGGATGAGCGCAGGAGGGAGTGGCATCGCCATCAGCAGCACCATCTGCAGCAGCAGCAGCAGCAGAAGAACCCTCATCCCCGCACCTCACTTCTACACCCCTCGCCTCCCACACTCCCTCGCCTCCACCTCCCCCATCCAGCAGCCCGTACCTAGCGAGGGCAGCAAGGGTCTCAGGCGGGGTGGCATCAGCGGCGTCTTCCAGCCACGCCAGCAGCGGCGCCATCGGCTTCCCCACGCCCTCCACGCCCTCCCGTGCCGCCTCTGCCGCCGCCACCACCCCCTCCATGGCCCGCGCCACATGCCGGCTCGCCAGACCCTCCGCCCACCGCGACCCACCTCTCCTCCCCTCGCCTGCACCTCCCACCTCTCCGCTTCCCCCTGCTCCTGTGCCTTCCCCTGTACCTGTGCGTGTCCCTCTCTCTCCTGCCTCGTCTGTCCGCGCAATCTCTCCTGCCTCGTCTGTCCGCGCAATCTCTCCTGCCTCATCTTCCCCTCTTCCTCCTCCGCTTCCTCCACCCTTTCCCCCCTCCCTACCTGAAGGGCGCTCCTTGAGGGAGCGCAGTAGCTCAAGAGCCCGCACCTCCTGCATGGCATCCAGGCTCGCCGCTGCCACTGCAGCAACACACGCCACACTCCCCCCCCTTCACCCTTCCCCCCGCCACTCCCACTCCGCCTCCCCCGCCGCCCCCGCCCCCCCATCCCCCACAACACATCATCCTCATCCAAATCATACCCTTGCACACCACACTCACCTCTCCCCCCACCATCCCCCTTCTTCATCCCATCTGCCTCCAAGCTCCGGCCAGTCTTAGCGCGCCACGTGGCAACCAGCTGGGAGAGGCGCCGGGTCCACTGCAGGCTCTCATCCAAGACGAGCTCCAGGGGGGACGCCTCCTTGCTGTGGGTGGCCACCACTGGCAGGTGCAGCTGCAGCGACGAGAAGCGCGCATGCACCGTCAGAACCATGCGGTGCCGCCACACGGGGAACACCGCACCCCGCCCGAATGCAGTTCCACTCACAATGTCGCTGGAAACATCCCCCATACCGCCGCTGCCCATACCGCCGCTGCCCATGCCATAGCCTGCCCCCGCAGCGCCCCCAAATCCCAGCTCCAGCAGCCTCGTCACCTCCTCCCCCGCCCCCCCCTCGCCTCCCCCTTCCACCAGCCCCTCAACTGCAGCAGCAGCAGCAGCTGCAAGAGCCGAAGGCGGCATGCTGAACTGAAAGCTCCTGAGAGGCCCGCTGCCGCCGCCGCTGGCGCCAAACAGCTCGTCCAGGTCGCCCCTCGCCGCGCCCTCCTTGCCCTCCCTCAGCCCCTCCTCCCCCTCAGGCAGGCCTGGGGGAGGGTCAACTGGGGCGGGGTAGACTGGCACGACCTGCACGGTGCACAGCTGTGAGTGCCGCAGGTCGTCGGGTGTGACTATGGGCGATGTGATAATGCGCAGCGAGGTGCTGCTGCCCAGGATGCGGGCGTAGATGCCCTTCAGCCGCCTCACCAGGTCCCCTGCTGACGTGTCTCTGGGGAGGGAGGGAGGTGGAGGGAGATGTGGGAGGAGGAGTGGAGGGATGGTGGAAGAACAGCGGGTTGAGCATGGAACATAGTGACTGTCAAACTGTATGGACAGTTGACTGCAAATGGCACGTCCCTTGAGCTTCCCATCAGCACATCCTTCCCACAAGCCCACCCCACCCCACCACGCGCTGCCCTGCCGTGCCCCCACTCACCGCGGCTCCTTGTACACGAACTGCCGTCCGTTGAACCCCGCCCCAAACCGCTCGCCATAGAAGGCCACCAGGAAGAAGCTCGCACCGTGCACACTCGACTGGAGGGACTGGTGGCACCCGCCTTCCCTCACCCCCTCCTCCCCGCCCCCTCCCGGCCTCTGAGTCAGCAGCAGGTATGAGGCAGCCAAGCGCCGGTGGCAGCGGGAAGCTGCGGAGAAGTTTCCCTGCTCTTTCCAGAAGGGCAGCAGCAGCTCCTGCAGGTGGACGGCGAAGGAATGCAGGCCGGCCGAGGCGAAGAGACAGGAAGCTTCCTCGAGGAGCGAGGCAATGAAGAGGGGGTTGACGTGCAGGTACCCCGCCACCCGCCCCGCCACCACCACCCTCTCCTCCTCCTCTCCACCGCTGCCGCCACTGCTCTTCTGCCCCCCCCTGTTCCTCCTCTTGCTCCTCACAGTGGCTCGGTTGGAGGCAGCTCGGAGCAGCCCTGGGGCGAGCAGGGGCAGGTCGGGGCACACTCGAGCCAGCGCCGCCACGTGCTGCTGCCCCCACACCGCCCCGCTGCTGCGCTGCCTTCCTGCACCCCGAGAGAAGAACCCCGCTGCCACTGCCTCGTCGCCTGCTTCATTGCCTCTTGTGCCTGGACCCATCGTGATTGTTGTACTGGTCGTGGCAGTGCTGCTGCTGCTGGTGGTGGTGGTGGTGGTGGTGGTGGTGGTGGTGGTGGTGGTGGTGGTGGTGGTGGTGGTGGTGGTGGTGGTGGTGGTGGTGGTGGTGGTGGTGGTGGTGGTGGTGGTGGTGGTGGTGGTGGTGCTTGTGGTGACACTGCGGGCGCCGATGGCACCATCATCACCCTCGCCACCGTCACTGCTAGAGTGATCCCGGGGCGGGTGGGGGCGGAGGGCGAGCAGGTACTGCAGTGCCACAGCAGCAGCGGCCACGCAGCACTGCCCCGCCTCCGCCGTGCCTCCCAGGGGGTCGAGGTGGCGGTGGGCGAGGGCGAGGCGCAGCAGGAAGAGCACGTGCAGGTCGGGCGCGTGCGAGCACGCAGCGGCGCACTGCAGGTAGCCCTCCACCACTGCTTGTCGGTCCTGCACTGCCGCCCTGGCCTGCCCAGGTAGGGGGGAAGGGAAAGAGATGCACTGGGATGAGATGCACTGGGATGAGATGCACTGGGATGAGATGCACTGGGATGAGATGCACTGGGATGAGATGCACTGGGATGAGATGCACTGGGATGAGATGCACTGGGATGAGATGCACTGGGATGAGATGCACTGGGATGAGATGCACTGGGATGAGATGCACTGGGATGAGATGCACTGGGATGAGATGCACTGGGATGAGATTGTACTGGGATGAGATGCACTGGGATGAGATGCACTGGGATGAGATGCACTGGGATGAGATGCACTGGGATGAGATTGCACTGGGATGAGATGCACTGGGATGAGATTGCACTGGGATGAGATTGCACTGGGATGAGATGCACTGGGATGAGATGCACTGGGATGAGATTGCACTGGGATGAGATTGCACTGGGATGAGATTGCACTGGGATGAGATGCACTGGGATGAGATTGCACTGGGATGAGATTGCACTGGGATGAGATGCACTGGGATGAGATGCACTGGGATGAGATTGCACTGGGATGAGATGCACTGGGATGAGATTGCACTGGGATGAGATGCACTGGGATGAGATTGCACACCCAACGTGCCTGCCCGGGGGGAGCCGGGGCCAAAGGGGAGGGAAACGGGACGGCTAAGCTTGATTTGACACGAGAGCACTGACGACTTGGGGTGGGAAGAGAGGGAGGCAAGGCGAAGCAAGTGGGGTTGAGTGAGGGGCACATTGGATGGTAGATGCGATGGAGGCATGGTGGGTGTGACGCATGGGTGTAATTGAGGCATCAATCAATGTGAGTGAGGCATCAATCAATGTGAGTGAGGCATCAATCAATGTGAGTGAGGCATCAATCAATGTGAGTGAGGCATCAATCAATGTGAGTGAGGCATCAATCAATGTGAGTGAGGCATGCTCAATCCTGCCACTCACCATGTCAGCATGCTCCTGCCATGCGTCCACAGCATGGCGCAGCACGGCAGAGAGCGCCTTCACCTCGCGCCACCGCCACCGCCTCGCCAGGTCTGCCAGCACCTGCTCGCCCAGCCCCACGGCCCCCAGCAACCTCCTGCCCTGCGTGCCCGACCCCAGCATCCTCACCACCGCTCTGAACCGTTCATCATGCTCCTTGTCCCACTCGCGCTGCATACTCCACCCTTGTCCTTGTGCTTCTTCCCCTCCTTCTGCTCCTTCTCCATCTCTCCTCATAGCCCTATTCCCCCGTTCATCTTCCCAAGAGTTCTCACTCATATCCTCCGTCCCCTCCTCCACTATCCTCCCTTTCCCCCACCCTTCCGTTCCTCGTCTGCCAAACCTCCCGGGTCTCCCCGGACCTGTCCTGGGCTCGTCTACAGGCAGCCCTGCCGGACCTATACCGGCCGGATCCAACACCGCTGCCGAGCCAAGCTGCACGGATTGGGCTATAGCTGGTAGTGCAGCAGGAGCAGGCGCCATAGTAGGCGGGCAGGCGGCAGAGTAAGCAGATTCCAAGGAGGGCGGGCAGGAAAAAGGTAGAGAGGAGGGGTCCCAGGCGGGGGTGAAAGAGGAGACGCCAGAAGCAGGGCGGAGGGGGTGCGAGGCAGCGAGGGCCACGCAGGCAAGAGGGGCGCAGGGATCATCAGAGCAAGGCCACAGGGACGATTGCTGCTGCTCCTTCTCTTGCTCCTGCTCTTGCTTCGCCTTGCCTCCCCTTCCGCCTCCTCGTCCCTCTGCCCTCCCCTCTCCCCCATGCTGCCAGTCACTCCCCCTACCCCTCGGCATGCCGTGGCTGGGCGGGCTGCGGGCGGTGGAAGGGCCGTGCCTGTCGTCGGAGCCAAGGCTGTGCCTCTCGTCATCAAGCCACTGCCGCTCGCTTGACCCAGGCAGGGCGTGCGCGGTGAGGTCAGCCCAGCCCCCCACGCTGCCCGCTCGCGCGCGTCCCACTCGCGGGCGCTGGGCGTGGTGTGAGGCGGGGAGCAGCAGCCCGCCTCCGTGGCTGTGGGATCGCGTGTGTGCTGCGTGCTATGCGCCGCTGTTGCTGCTACTGTTGTTGAGGTGTTGAAGGGGGTTGTGAGCGGTTGCAGAGGCAGTGCCAGTGGCAGCAGCAGCAGTTCTTAGGATCGTAAACACCTTAGTCGGCAATAGTCTACTTGCTATTGCTTATCGTGTTCTCCACGATCTCCCAAATCCAACGATATGCGCAGCTCTACTTGAAGTTGTCAATACACACTTCAGCAATTTCAGAATCTCAATGTTGTCCAATGTTGTGATTTCCAGAATGAGTACAAGCAGTTTTATGGTCAGGCAAGACACAAAATGCGATTCGTAACTTCACTTGTTTCCCAAGTAACCGCGTGTGCCTCGTTTCACCCCGAGTCGCACACGGAACCGAACCGAATGCACCGAACATTTCTTGAGTCCGAATCTCGAACCTTCTCGAACGCGCCTCAAGCTTGAACCACAATTTCCCCCGTCGATCTCATTCTTGATGCTTCTCCTTCTCTATTCCTCCTTCCTGCACATTCCTTCTCGATTTCCTTCCCGCTTCTCACGCCGTAGCTTCTATTCTCCACCGTAGGTCGATTTCCACCGTCTTAGATCTAAAATCTCCCACGCACTCCATTACGCCGTCATTCCGCATCTCGCCGTAGGTTTCGTGGTTCATCGAACCAACCCTAGCAATCTCCCCTGTGGTTCGTCAACCACGAACTCCACTCGCACTCCTCCCCTGCTTCTTGTAGCCTTCACAGGGTCTAAGTCGGCTTCAAGCTCTCCTGCAGGTCCTCCACCTTGAACCTCTCCTTACGTGTCTTGAATTTGAGCGCTTTGACGTCCAAACCTTGAGACATTTTCTTAAGCCTCTCACTTCTCCTCGGCATCTTAACACCCAACACCTCTCGGGTCTCGTACCCCTCAACGTGTTCCTCCTTCGTAAGCACTCGCCCCTTTGCAGTTGCTTTCTCCTTTGATCCCTTCACCAGGATGTCCCCTTTCACAGCTTCAACTCCCATATACTTCTCATTTACTGCTTCATCTTCAACCACGATCGCTGCTGCAAAAGTGTTGACACCAACTCCATCTCCACCATTCACTGCTGCTGCCTCCATGGCGACTATCTCCTCTTTCTGCTTCACTGCTGCCTCCACACTCGCTGCCGTATCATCCGTGTCCTCACTCTCATCAACCTTAGTCGATAACTTCTCCAATTCTCCCATTTCACCATACTCAGGATCCTCATAGATCTCATCCATATCATTCGTCGCTATCACGTTCATCTCATAAAATCCGTCACTGAAGTAACCCTCGGCGTACTTCTCCCACTCTGGGCCAAACATTGTAACCTTTCCACTGTCATAAAATATCTTGCACCCCAAGTCATCAAGCTGTGACTGACTGACCAAATTCACCTTTAAATCCTCAACCAGCAGCACACTGTCCAGTTTCACCTCTCCATACGGACTCTGCAGCACCACGTCACCCTCTCCTGTCACTGGCAACTTCCCGCTGTTACCTTGCAGTATATAATCCTCACTCGAGTCCCTCACATTCTCCATCCAATCTGACCTGAATGTCATGTGACGCGTGCATCCGCTGTCCATGAACCATGCCGTCTTCTCACGATCGTCCGTCTGCCGAACCTCCTTTGGTAAACGCACCACGTTCGCAAGATGCGCTCCTCCAAAAATCACATCTTCCTTTTCCGCTTCTGCTACATTCGCCTTTGCCGCCACATTCCTCTGCTGCGACGGACCCTTGTAGCTCCTGCTATTCGGGTTGGAGTAGCACTCTGCGGCACGATGTCCATAGCGCCCACAATAGTCGCACTTGCCGCCAAAACCCCGTTTCTGCTGCCACTCCGCTCCCCCATTTTCTCCTTTATCGTTCTCCAACGCTTTGCCTTTGTAGTTCCTGCTTCGCGGATTTTCGTAGCAGTATATCGCCTTATGCCCCCTCTTTCCACACTGGTAGCACGCTCCAAACGCCTTTGTCGCATTCACCATAGCCGACCTCTCCTCGTCTAATTCCGCTGCTGCTGCCGCTTTCTTTTTCCTCATCTCCTTCACCGTCTCAAGCGATTGCAGAATCTCCTGCAGCTTCGTCAAACTCTCCGGCGGTTGGTACGTAAACATACCGATGTCGGATTCCCACTCCTTAGGAAGGCCTTGGATGATATAGTCAATCATCTCCTGCTCCGTCTCCGCGGCTCCCATCACCCGCAAGTCGTCCTTGTAGTTTTTCGCCCTGTTGATGTAGGTGATGATTTTCTCGCCTTTCTCCATGCTCAGCATCAGCAGTTGCTTCCTAATCGCCTTCTTGTTGACATCGTTCGTACCCATGTACGTGGACTCCAGGTACTCCCACGCTCGCTGTGCAGAGTTCAGCTCCCCTGCAAACTGGTCCAAATCCACTGCGATTCCATCGGCAACTGAGTGACAAAGCTGAAAGAACGCTTGCTTACTTTGTTTTTTGAACGCCGCTATTTTCTCCTTCGTATCCGTCGGGGATGGCGCAACTTCCTCCATCGTCTCCTCGTCGGGACGGTAGTACGGCAAGAGGTCAACCTCCTCTGCCCTCCGAATAAACTTCTTCCGCCACACGTTGTAGTTGCTTCCGTTGAAGAGCTGGGCTTCACTGAGCCCGATCGTCGGTTTCGCCACCAATCGGCCACTCGCAAGGGCCTTGAGAAGAGCCTTCAACTGCGGGTCTCCAAGACTCACACTGGAACCCGAACTCGCCTCGTCTCCTATGGCGTAGGCGTGAACGACTCCTCTTCTCCACTAATTTCACTTAGCGCACCAAGTGAATTCACCGCGATCGACGAGCCCGTTCGCCAAGCTCTGATACCAGTTCTTAGGATCGTAAACACCTTAGTCGGCAATAGTCTACTTGCTATTGCTTATCGTGTTCTCCACGATCTCCCAAATCCAACGATATGCGCAGCTCTGCTTGAAGTTGTCAATACACACTTCAGCAATTTCAGAATCTCAATGTTGTCCAATGTTGTGATTTCCAGAATGAGTACAAGCAGTTTTATGGTCAGGCAAGACACAAAATGCGATTCGTAACTTCACTTGTTTCCCAAGTAACCGCGTGTGCCTCGTTTCACCCCGAGTCGCACACGGAACCGAACCGAATGCACCGAACATTTCTTGAGTCCGAATCTCGAACCTTCTCGAACGCGCCTCAAGCTTGAACCACAATTTCCCCCGTCGATCTCATTCTTGATGCTTCTCCTTCTCTATTCCTCCTTCCTGCACATTCCTTCTCGATTTCCTTCCCGCTTCTCACGCCGTAGCTTCTATTCTCCACCGTAGGTCGATTTCCACCGTCTTAGATCTAAAATCTCCCACGCACTCCATTCCGCCGTCATTCCGCATCTCGCCGTAGGTTTCGTGGTTCATCGAACCAACCCTAACAGCAGTGGCGGCGGCAGAGCCAGGAGGAGGGGGTAAGGGGGAGAAGGATGCTGCTGTGTGGCTGCTGAGAGCGTCAGGAGCAAGAGAGAAGGACCGACGATGCCGTTGATGCTGCTGCTGCTGCTGCTGATAATCACCGTAAGGTGCAAAAGCACCATCAGCAGCACCACCTGCTGTGAGCGCCCCTCCTTTCCATCCCGGAGGAGGCTTGAGAGCAGCGGGAGCAGGAAGAGTGGGGTGAGTGGGTTGGATGAACTCCACAGCCGGATGCGTGGGGACGGGCGAGTCGGGAGAGGGGGGGAGGATCGAGGAAGGGGAGTGAGGAGGGTAGAGGGGAGTGCAGGGGCGAGTGAGGAGGTCGATAGAGGAGAGAGTGAGGGAGACGGTGATGGCAGCGACTGTCCCACTCTCCCTCACTGAGTCCTGCAGGAGGTGTGGGTGGGTGGGTGGGGGTAAGAGAGAAGGGGAAAGGGAAGCGGAGAAGAAAACTGGGGTGCACGGAAACAGCAGCAGGCGGTGGGCAGTGAGGGAGCGAGCAGAGCGGGCGGCGTGGATTGACACGGTGTGGCTTGGCATCACGGAACAGCTTTGTGCCATGGATGCTACCCATGGATGCTGCCCATGGGTGCTGCCCATGGATGCTGCCCATGGATGCTGCCCATGGGTGCTGCCCATGGATGCTGCCCATGGGTGCTGCCCATGGGTGCTGCCCATGGGTGCTGCCCATGAATGCTGCCCATGGGTGCTGCCCATGGATGCTGCCCATGGATGCTGCCCATGGGTGCTGCCCATGGGTGCTGCCCATGGATGCTGCCCATGGGTGCTGCCCATGGATGCTGCCCATGGGTGCTGCCCATGGGTGCTGCCCATGGATGCTGCCCATGGGTGCTGCCCATGGGTGCTGCCCATGGGTGCTGCCCATGGATGCTGCCCATGGGTGCTGCCCATGGATGCTGCACATGGATGCTGCCCATGGGTGCTGCCCATGGGTGCTGCCCATGGGTGCTGCCCATGGATGCTGCCCATGGGTGCTGCCCATGGATGCTGCCCATGGATGCTGCCCATGGGTGCTGCCCATGGATGCTGCCCATGGGTGCTGCCCATGGATGCGTGGGAGTGAGCGGGGTGCGACAGGGACAGCGCTGCATCAGGACCTGGGGGCAGGGAGAGAGGACCGGTGGGAGGTTGGGCGGGAGAGAGGGAGGGAGGGTGGGAGGGAGGGAGGGAGGGAGGGAGGGTGGGAGGGAGGGAGGGAGGGAGGGAGGGAGGGAGGATGGGAGGGAGGGAGGGAGGGAGGGAGGGAGGATGGGAGGGAGGGAGGGAGGGAGGGAGGGACGGAGGGAGGGACGGAGGGAGGGAGAGAGGGAGGATGGGAGGGAGGGAGGGAGGGAGGGAGAGAGGGAGAGAGGGAGGGAGGGAGGGAGGGAGGGAGGGAGAGAGGGAGAGAGGGAGAGAGGGAGGGAGGGAGGGATGGAGGGAGGGAGGGAGGGAGAGAGGGAGGGAGGGAGGGAGGGAGGGAGGGAGGGAGGGAGGGAGGGAGGGAGGGATAGGGAGGGAGAGGGAGGGAGAGGGAGGGAGAGGGAGGGAGAGGGAGGGAGAGGAAGAGAGGGACGGAGAAGTTGCTAAGGCAGGCAGGCAGGCAGGCGGGCGGGCGGGCGGGCGGGCGGGCGGGCGGGCGGGCGGGCGGGCGGGCAGGCAGGCAGGCAGGCAGGCAGGCAGGCAGGCAGGCCGGCAGGCAGGCAGACAAGCGGGAAGGAGGGCAGGAGGGCAGGAGGGCGGCATACGGCGATGAGGAGCAGCAGTCCCACGAGCGCCCTCTCGCGCACGGCAGCGTGGGCAGCGAAGACAGCGCAGTGCAGCAGCCAGTGCGTCGTGTTCTTCGCCAGCCGCCCGTTGCTGCGCTTGCCCAATAGCAGCGCTCCGTGCCTCGCCACCTGACGGTGCGCGGGTGGGCAGGTGGATGAAATCGTGACACAGAAGAACAAACGGGAGGGCGTGTGGTTTATTCAGAATCCATGCGGGGATTGAATCAGCTCGTTGCTAGCATGTGTCGTCCAGCTCTTGCCAGTGATTCAATCAACCACCAAAGCAACACAACACCTACCACACCAGTGCGAGGCGTACCAGTTTGAGCAGCAGAGGGACGAAGCTGGTCCAGTGCTCCGGGGAGAGCACAGCCTGGTGGCTCTTCACGAACGCCGCCCACACCAGCTCCTCCACCTCCCCCGCCGCCACTGCGCCTCTCCCCGCCCTCACCACCCCCTCAGATAACACCTCCACCACAGTTAACACCTGCTTCTGCTCTTCCATTCGCAGCCGTCTTGCCTCCTTCCGTCCTCTCTCCCCAACCCCCTGTGCTTCCGCATCACAACCAGCTCCTCTGCGCCCCCCCGCCCGCCCCCCCCCTTGTTCCTCCCCTGTGTCCGGTTCACCCTGGAAAGGGGGAGGCGGAGACGGATGCGGGGAAGGGAGGCGGGGAGAGGGGCGATGGTTGGGGGGGGGAGAAGGGAAGGGATTGGGCTCAGACCTTCACATCAAGCAGGGGGGAGGGGGGCCGGGAAGGGGAGGAGAGGGTGGATAGCGGGAGGGGCTGAACAAGGAGGCGACGGGGCAGCAGGAGGGTGGTGTGGTGCGGAGGTGGGGAGTAATGTGGGGTGGGGAGAAGGAGGGAGAGTGGTGGGGGGAGACAGGTGGGGAGAGGTGCGGGGAGAGAGGTGAGAGGACAAAGGTGGGGGGAAAAAAGTGGAGTGAGAGTGCTGGGGGGGTAAATGTGGGGGAGAGAAAGGTGGGGGTAGAGCTAGGGAGGGAGGGAGTGGTGTGGGGAGGCGCGAGCACGTGGGGCTGCGCGCACCAACTCCGCAGCAACGAGGCGCGCCACCACCCCCCAGCTCTCCTGCCACACCGCGCTCGCCGACTCCGCCGCGCGCGCTCGTAGGGGGAACAGCGCGGCGCGCAACTTGCGCCTCTCGCGCGCTGACAGAGCCTCGTACACCGCACGCACGCCCCTCTCCGCCGCGCTCTGCGCCGTAAGGGGACGCGGGGCTGGTGCGGAGTCCCCGGGAAAGCCCCCGGATGGCGCGGAAGTGGCGGACGGCGCGGACGGCGGAGCGGCAGTCCGCCGGGGCGGGTCTTTCAAGCACGGAGGGTTGGAGACGCGAGGAGGTTCGGAAAGGCGCGGAGGGTTGGCAATGCGCGCCGGGAGTCGCGCGGAGGAGGCAGACGAGAGCGACCATTGCTGCGCGTGGGTGCGTTCCGCCGCGGCGTGCATGCAGACAGACTTCTCGGCGCGCTTCTACGGCGTTTACGTGGCATCGCAGCAGAAAAATATCAAATCTCGTTGGGCATGCTTTTGCGGTTTAGTTGTAGATGAAAATGAGATATGGCGCTTCGAAAAAACTTCACATACCTACGTCACAGGCTACGTTTTATGGGCGTATTTGTTGGTTTGGCGAATTGTTGGTTTCGTCGAGCGTTACTGCATTGGGTCTGTTCGAGGAAGTACTCAGTACATAAATAAAACCCTAAGAATACTGAATCCACTTTAGAAAGTATGAGATCGTTCCTCCGCCTTCACATTTTCAGAACTTATCCACAACTCGCTTGATTGTTCTCTAGCTTCGGAAGCTGGCCACATTGCTCCTATTACGATATGAAATTCAACGAGCAGGAGCTGCAGGAGCTGACTCTACCGAGTACGAAGTCGAGGAGTCAGAAGAGTCGAAGCGACACCATCAACCATCTGACCAGGACCGACGCAAGCAGGAGCCTTTGAAATGAAAAGAGGGGGAACAGGTTTGAAACAGGTTCCCGCGCCACACGGTTTGAATTCGCTGTAATAAGGTGTCAGAAGTAGTAGGAGTAAGGCCTAGGCTTAGTAGCCTAGGCCACAGTAGGACTAGTAACGAGGAGCCAAGTACGAGCTAGGAATGTGTGTAGGAACAGAATTGAGAAGGAATGATTGAACTAGCAAGCAGCAGGATACAAATAGCAAACCCTAAGGGGCTGTACTCACTATAGAGTACCCCACTGCAGGCTACACAAACAACATATTCTGACACACCCCCATAGCCAAAGTGGGGTGTAATCAGCACAATGAGCAGTCATAGCAATAGTTCATAATTATCAGCAAAGCTAGAGGCTATCACAGAGGGCAAGTGAGGAGGAGGGACTATGAAAGGAGAGAAGATGGGAGGCGACGACTGAAGCTGCAGACACACGGGCAACAGAAGCGGCTGACACAGTGGCGGCTGGCACAGTGGCTACCGAGACAGAGCGCCCCGGAATACTGGAGTAACTGGCTCTGCGGCTACGACGAGCGGCAGAAGCAACGGACCCACGGGCGACTGGTGCAGCAGGCTCTCAGTGGCTACCGAGACAGTGCGTCCCGGAATACAGGAGTAACAGGCTCTGCGGCTGCGACGAGCGGCAGGAGCAACGGACCCACGGGCAACAGGTGCAGCAGGCTCTCTGAGCTACCAGGACAGTGCGCCCCGGACTACAGGTGCTGCGGACGACAAGACAGCAGCCTCCACTCAACCTCCCCCAACAGTCCCACACCCCTCTCACACACCCCCTGCTTCACCCCTAGTTCCACTCCCACATCACCCCCCTAGTGCCACTCCCCACGACTCCCACACCTCCACCCCCCTCAGCGGCAGCTGCAGCAGTGGGAGACGAAAAAGGAGGAGGGGAGAACCCACACCTCTCACCCCCATGCTCGCCACCCCACACCCCAGCCACCGCGGAACGCACGGTGGAATGGGAGCAATGGGCAGCACGGGGGGGGGGGGGGGGGACGGGGCGGGCGTCTGCAGAGGCGGCTCGCGCGGGTCCTGGGGCGGGCTGCTGCAGGTGCGGGCTTGCTCCAGGGGCGGCTGCTGCAGTGGCGGGCGGCTCTAGGGGCTGCTGCTGCAGTGGCGGGCGGCTCCAGGGGCGGCCGCCGCAGTTGAAAGGCAGAAGGGGGGGGGGGGGGAAACGCACGACCCCCAGGGCGCCCCGAGGGGCGACGAGAAGGGAGCCGCGCGGCCCCCCCCCCGGGGCGCCGCGACGGGCACCAGGGAGGGCGCCGCGACGAGCCCCCAGAGCCGCCTCGACGGGCGACGGGGAGGGTGCCGCGCGGGCCCCCCGAAGTCGCCTCGACGGGCGAGGGGGAGGGCGCCGCGCGGGCCCCCCGAAGTCGCCTCGACGGGCGACGGGGAGGGCCGCGCACGGCCCCCGAAGTCGCCTCGACGGGCGACGGGAGGGGACCGCGCGCGGCCCCCGTGGTCGCCACGACGGGCGACTGGTGGGGAGGCCGCGCGGGCCCCCAAGGTCGCCTCGACGGGCGACGGGAGGGGAGGCCGCGCGGGTCCCCGAGGTCGCCTCGACGGGCGACGGGAGGGGAGGCCGCGCAGGTCCCCGAGAGCGCCTCGACGGGCGCTTCGATGGGAGGGGACCGCGGAGGCCCCCCCAAGGGCACCACGACGGGCGCCACGGAAGGGAAAACCGCCAGGCGCCCCGAGCGCGCGGCGGGCAGAAATTAGGGTTTCGCCGCCGCGCACCACGGGGCGCGCGGCGGACAGTACGGCAGCGGAAGCGGGTGGTGGGCCCATACACAGGAAGGCGGCAGACATGCCGCCCTCTGATAACATGTCAGAAGTAGTAGGAGTACGGCCTAGGCTTAGTAGCCTAGGCCACAGTAGGACTAGTAACGAGGAGCCAAGTACGAGCTAGGAATGTGTGTAGGAACAGAATTGAGAAGGAATGATTGAACTAGCAAGCAGCAGGATACAAATAGCAAACCCTAAGGGGCTGTACTCACTATAGAGTACCCCACTGCAGGCTACACAAACAACATATTCTGACATAAGGGAATGTACTTCTTAGAGTACATGGCTCGTCTAGGTCGTTTCGCATTCCTCTGTATTTCCTAAATAAACTTTATGTATATATGCTACTTGTCAAACTATAATGCTGCTTATGTGTTAGAATACTAGGAAGGAATGTGTGTTAGGTAAGAGGGAGGGGGTACAAGACTATCGAGAGAGTTGGGTTGTACCCTCTAAGGTGTGACCCCTACACAACCTAGAGTGAAATGAACAGAACAATATGTTTTGACACACCCCCATAGGTGAAGTAGGGGATAGCCAAACCTAACAGTGATCACAAGACCAGTCAAGCAAGAGAACAAGCAAGGCAAAGCCCATGGTGGATCTCAAGGACACCACACAATCTGAGCACAAGCAGGCGGCCACAAGGCCAGTTCACATGCAGATTTATAATAGCAAGGCAGTACACAGATCACAACCTCGCAAGAGTAAACATGCAGGCATAAAGATATATAGCAGTGTACAACAAGAGCAAGTCAAGCAACCAGCAGGTGAGGCAGAGTGGGCACAAGCCCAAGAGCAGTGCAAAAACGCTGATGATCACCAGCCCCAAGGGCCTTGGTGAACACATCAGCAGTGTTGGCCCGAGAGGCCACGAAAACAAGGCGCAGTTGACCACGCTGCTGCAGCTCACGCGCAAGGAAGTAGCGCAGAGCAATGTGCTTCGTTCTGTGCTCTAGTCTCTGCTCGAGGCAAGCATTGCCTTGTTGTCGACGTACAGAACTGGAGGAGAACGAGGCCGCTCCCCCAAGTCGGTAAGCAGGTAGGTCAGCCAGCGGAGCTCCTGTGCAGCCATGGCCCCAGCGTAGATCTCGGCCTCACAGCTGGAACCAAGCACAGAAGAAGAACGAGTGGACCTCCACGCGACAGAACTAGAGCCAAGACTGAAGGTGTAACCCTGTGACGAACGCTGAGTCGCCTGGTCGTCGGCCCAAGAAGCGTCAGAGTGTCCTGTGAGGACCACCGAACCCCGTCCTCCAAGCACGAGCCACATGCCCGATGTGCTGCACAAGTAACGCAGTACCCTTTTCGCAGCATCAAAGTGCACCTTTTGGTGTCTACCGGGTGCCACGTAGCGAGCGAGAAGGCTGAGAGGGTACGCGAGGTCAGGTCGTGTGCACGTCATCAGGTACATGAGGCAGCCCACAAGCTCTGGGTACGGACCACTCGGTTCTACGGACTCGTCCGAAGGTGGAGCTGAGAGCGAGTGGCCGGTAGCCAGAGGAGTGGGCTGTGGCGAGGAGTACGTGAAGCGGAAGCGGGTGAAGGACCTGGTGCACCATGTGTGACCGAGTCAGGGTGATGGTGCGCCGTGCTCTGTCCCGGGTGATCTGCAAGCCAAGATAGCTCCGCAGCTCACCCAGGTCAGTGTAGGTGTGTCTCTCCTGCAGCTCCGCCTTCACTAGGGCCAGTGCCTCAGTGTGAGCAGTAGCAAAAACCAAGTCGTCAACGTACACGAGGATGTAGAACGGCGGCAGAGAAGTGTCGGTCCGTAGAAACAGCGACGGGTCAGTAGTCGAAGGAGCAAACTCAAGAGCCGCAAGTGTCGTCCTCAGTGTGTCGTGCCACTCGCGGGGCGCCTGATGCAGGCCGTACACTGGTCGCCGTAGGCTCCACTGGGTACCCTCAGGAAACGACCCAGTGAAGCCTTGTGGACGGCGCAACCAAATGGCCTCGTGAAGGCTAACCTATAAGAAAGCTGTCGAGAAGTCGAGGGAGTGCAGCTCGTAGTCACGCTGAGCTGCAACGTGTAGCAACACCCGAAGAGTGGTCATCTTCGGGGTGGGGGAGAAGGTCTGAAAGAATTCGACCCCCTCACGCTGACTGAAGCCTCGAGCAACGTAACGTGCCTTGAAGGCAGGCGGAGAACCCGGCGGCCGCTTCACCCTGAAAATCCGCATGCCACTGACGATGTTCGCCCCAAGTGGGGGAACCTCGTCGACGTAGGTGCCTGTGGACTTCTAGAAAGCCATCTCTGCGTCCATGGCTGTCTGCCACTGAGAGGAGTACTCACCCGAAATCGCCTCTCTGTAAGAGCGCGGGGTGGGGATGTCAAGTGCATCCGGGTCTCCCTCAGGGGCAAGCAGCATGGTCGTGTGATAGGGTGAAGCGGCAGCAAGGCACTCCAGCTCCTCCTGTCTGTCCTCAAGAACGTCACAGCCAAGGGCAGTACACAGCAGCAAAGTCAACGAGTTCAGCTACTAGGGCAGACGCAGCAGGAGACGAGAACGTAGGGTCCGTCACAACCGTAGCAAGAAGGCGCGTAACAGTCGGTCTGGACGCACGAGCAGGTCAGACGGAGGGTCAGCAACGTCATGCAAAGAGGACGCAGGAGGTAACGGTAGGACAACACGCTGAGGAATAGAGGAAGGACGGAGTGTCATATCGTGAGTGCCGGGGA